CTATAGTGATCTAAATCACAGTGCTGGCACTTTGACTTGCAGTGGTATGTCAGATGGCTTTGTGGGACAGTGTAGGGAGGTGGTGGGGGCAGGGTAAAGCTTTTAATGCTAGCTTGACCTTTGAAAGGAAGGAAAAGGAGAAAAAAGTTCACCTCCCTCTGGACAGCTTGCTTTCTTCCATGGCCTGCTTCTCACTGTCACCTACCCTTGTAGAGCAGAAGGGTCTAGATCAGTCCCCTGAGGTGGCTTCATCTCCCTCTGGTAGACTGGCACTGTTCTCGGCCCTGTGTGGGGCAGCTCCAGGACAAGGCTGGGAGTGCAGCACCGTGTTCAGACCTGCATCTGGTTTGTGAGCGTACAGCCAGCTGTCACTTTGGCTGAAACAACAGTTCCCAGGTTGCTATGGCCATGTCCTGACAATATAATGCTGCTGTGTCTCACTGATGTTACTTAACAATTGTTGCTTTGGCTTGTCTGTCTTCTATTACTCAAGCTGGACATAGCATGTGTGTATAAGTATTGTAGCCTGAGTGCTGCCTTTTTTTCTCCTTTTTTTTTAAGAGGTTAAGTTCAGGCAACTCTGATCAGGAAAGTTAATTGTGTCTACATATAAACAGGAACCTCTTGTCTACTCTTGATGGAACTGGACCTATATAAACTAATAAGATATATTTAATTAATCGTAATGAAATACAGCATGAAATGTAATCACAGGCATCTCAACTTAATAGAAAGCCCTGTAATTGGTAAGTGCTGCATTAGGATTAGGTCATTCCTGAGGAAGGCTGCCTCACAGCTCTTCCTCTTTCACGAAAGCAGCAGCTTAAGAACAATTGAGGAAAGGAAGGGGTGACAGAACTTAAAAAGCTCTAACAGATGATCCTGAGTTGTATCCACATGTTCACTCTGTCAGCCCAGATTGTCATGTTATTTATTAACTGCTTGAGAGACTCAGTTACTTAGTTTTGGAAGCGTGGCCTTCAATAACATTAGGTGTAGTTGTTGCTTATGCCCGTGGAGTTTTCAACTTCAATTGATTCCATGTTCTTGCTGTTATCTTGCTTTGGGTTCTTAGGCAAGTGGTAAACAAAACTGTTTTTTGTCAAAATTCCTAAAAATTGTCTACGATACAACTTTTTGCCCCCTCATAAAAAGCCTTGAAATACTATTTATGATGGCATTCACCAGGTTTGCCAACCAGTGTGTCACTACTGCTGCCGCCTTGGTTGCAGAAAGAAGACAGGAAAGGACTGGAGCCTAGTTCGTTTAGTATACATATGTGTCTCATAAGAGTACTTGGGGGTTTTGTACCAAGGAGGGCTTTTGAAGTCTGTCTCTTCTCTTTAGTCACAGTAAGACAGCATGAAAGACAAAACTGCTTTCTTAATGTGTTAGGAATGTAGACTTAATTAGGAATTTAATATAAATTTTTTTAAAAAATTAAAACACTGTCAGATGTCCCCTGCAGCAGTGAGATGAACATGTTACGAATAAAGTCTGTGTTAATTTGCATGTATTGACAAAAGTGACACAAAAACTTGAAATTCTATTTGTCCCTTTGCAAATTGATAAAAAAGCATGATACAGAAATCTATCCATACATAGCATAAGACTTTTACAGGTAAGACATTTGTACATCCATTTATAACCTCAGGTGATTCACTCGTACAGCCTTGACCACTCAGAATTCTGATTTTTCTACTTTCCATTTTCAGCACTGAACATTCGCTCCTAGAAAGAGAGAAGTAAACATACAACAACTGAGTAAGAATTTGGGAACTGGACTGTGCTTCAGCAGTGCAGGCTTAAGTCACTACTAAGTAGTTGTCATTCAACAAGAACAAATGCCTAGATCAGGTATACTTGATATGTATTTCCTGCCCACCCCAAAATATACAGTTCAATTAATCCCATTTGAAAGACTCTGCATAAACTGACAGAAAACTTTCACATGGTTTGGCTATACTCAGCATATCTGTTCTTGGTGCCTCCTAGTCCCAAGTACAAGCATGATTTGTTTCCAGCTCACTCCCTGAAGATTATTTGTGTCTTGTACCACTGCTGACAGCTAACAAGTTTAGAATTAGACTTAAGGGACTCTTTACTTTGACAGTGGTGTTATCTTGATTAGCTGTCAGTCTGAAAACTGCCTTGGGCCTCAAACAGCAGGTGTGGCTTTATAAGTCTGGCATGAATTCTTTCTTGAGATGCAGTGAAATTTACCAAGTTCACTTAATTTAAGTGGCTGGTTTGCTCGCTGCCTGTCCTACATAACATGTACAGCCTATACAAAAACTTGATCAGACTTGCTTACAGGTTCCTAATCCTTAGCCTTAACAGAAGGAACTGTGGAACATGAGAGCTGACAAGAGGCAGCATGATATAACATCATATAACATCTACCTTTAACATCCTCTCCAGTTTAATTGCATCTGCAGCAAATTTTCTGATTCCATCAGACAATTTCTCCACAGCCATTTGGTCTTCATTATGGTGCCAGCGGAATGCCTTCTCATCCAGGTGGATCTTCTCAAGCTCACATGCCTGAGCTGTGCAAGGGGAATTGAAAGAGAAACAAACCATATTATCAGGTTATACCAAATACCACAGGCTTCCTAAAACGGTATCAATGTTCTGACCATGTCCAGCTGTTGAAAAATTTCAAATGCCACTTTCAGCATGACTTGCTACAGGAGCACACTTTGAGATGCAAGACTGAAAATGCTGCTGACCTGGTTGAGAGGAAAAAAGTCATCTAGATCATCAGTTTCTCTTAAAATACAATGTTTATGTGTATGCCATTATCTTCTATCTGCTTCTGAATAGTACAGTACTTTCAGGCCTATTGTCAAAAATTATGCAACAGTCCTACTGCAGTGAGACATTCTAAGCAAATATGCTGAAGAATTAGGTCTTTGATTATTTGGCAAGTACTTAACAAAAGCTCAATTGATAACATGCCTGGAAGCCAGCTAGCACCCTGTAAGGAGCAACCCATGACTACAGCTGTGCACAAATCCTGTCTTCTGAGTTGTAAAGTAGCATTTTAATAAGGTTACAGAAAAGCGAGAGTAGTGCAATGGGAACATACATTCAAAGTCATCGTGGCACAGTCAAATAATTTAGTCTTCCATACTATTCATTGCTAGTTTCTGGAGGGAACACATGCCTTTTGGCATGTCTAGAGCTAATTGCATCACTGATGCAATATTAACATAAGATTAAACCAGGTTTGGCATCTTTGCTAATATTCAGTAAAATTTCATCCCGAGTGTATGAAGTATAAAGTTCCTTCTGCTCTCCCTGTTCTCTCAGGAGAGGGTACACAGTATTTAAGCATGCTCAAAGCTCACTGTAATTCCAGAGGGCAAACTCAGTGGGAGTCAAGACCCTAAAGAAGTGACTGTGTGTGTTAGCAACTGTAGCAGTACTGTTGTAATGAAGCTACAGTATATTTCCTTTAGAGAGGAGTCAAGATTCATCCTTAAAGCAGAATGGAAGAAAGAACCACAGAGGTGAGTGGAACCACATACTCTGAACAGTCAAGAAAAGGGAGACTGAGCAAGCCCATGCTACACAGAAGTGGACTTACCCTCTTTTACACTGAGTGTGGGAGTTAACTTGACATACTCTTTGCTGAGCTCTGCCAAAAGCTTGGGTGAAATGGTGAGATAGTCACAGCCTGTGAGCGCTTTTATTTCTCCTGTATTTCGAAATGAAGCACCCATCACGATAGTTTTGTAGCCAAACTTTTTGTAGTAGTTATAGATCTTAGTGACACTCTTCACTCCTAAAAAGGAGAAACCAGCAACTTTCAGAATAATTCATTTGAAGTACAAATGATTATTTAGAACATGCTCAAACCCAATGTTTTTTCATTAAGAGGATTTATGCAAGTGAACTGCAGTTTGAATGAGTAGCTATTGTATTTTTAACAATATGTTAAAAGGAAAGCTTACCTGGATCCTCTGAAGGCTCATAGGCTTTCTTATCTCCATTTGCAACATACCAATCCAGGATACGTCCTACGAACGGGGAAATCAGAGTAACTCCAGCTTCAGCACAGGCAACTGCCTGAGCAAAGGAGAACAGCAAGGTCATGTTGCAGTGAATTCCATACTCTGCTTCCAGAACCCTGCAGACACAGGCTGGCTTAAAACAGCAGTTTGCTCACCTCCTGAATTTATATGCTAGTAACAAGCTAGTAAGTTGAAACTACCAAATTTCTTGAGTTAAACTAGGAATGCGGTACAGTTTATAAGCTTTAAAGTTTTAAGCTAACAGCAAATGTTTTGCACTGCCAGAGTCTGCTTTATTTAATGCTTTTCCTTGAACCAAATGCAGACAACTTAACATGATATTTCAGGAAACTCTGTTTGTGGCCTGGGCCTTCTATGAACTGACTTTTCCTATTTCAACAGAAAGCTGTAGCAGAGCACCTGGCTTGCTAGCTGTAGCTGTAGGAACAGATTTCCTAGTGCAGTGCTTTTAAAACAATTCTTTAACTGCAGAATGTATTTGTCAGGTGTCTGTGAAAGAGGCAGAAGCATGCTATGAATCAGCATACCAGGTACAGAAATACTTACCTGCCAGCCTGGATTCCTTCCCATGTTGAAGAGAGCTTTATGAGAATACGATCTTTGCCAATTCCTGCTTCCTTATAAAGGTCAATGAGGCGCCTGGCCCTTTGAATCATTCCTTCCTTATCAAAGGACAACCTTTGAAACAAGAGCAAGACTGCCTAAACATGACTGATTTTCTTTAAAATGCTCTCCCCCATAAACCAGGACAATTTTCAATGGAGTTTATCAGCATTTACATGCCCATAGCAGGTTTTTGTTCTCAGAGATGCTTCCTGCATTTGAGCCCATCAAGTAGGTGTATGACAGCACTGCTACTCTTTGATTCAGAGGATCTAGACCTCAAGATAGCTTTCCTTGAGAAACTTATAGATGAAAGTTTTTCCTCCAGTTTTTCATAATGAATGCAGAAGCTGAGCATTAGAAATGAATTAGCAAGGAGTAGGTTAACAGACAAATCCTATGCAAGTCTTGAAATAAATTCTTAAACCAGATCTCTTGGTAAATTGAGAAGATGTTACCACACAGAAGAGAATGAGCAAAACTAAGTACACTGGAAGCATGAGGTTTTCCTTAGGAAATAACAGGAACATTACAAAAATCCAAGCTTAGCATTACTTGTTTTCATAAAGTTTTTGTCACTGAGTTATTATCAAGTAAACTAATCAATCTAATTAAACAAATATTAACAATATAAACTCTTGCTTGTCTTCTAACAGTGAGCTGTCTAGTCAAGAACATATTTATCCAACTCACATCATGTCTCTTTTTGTATGTACAAATATCCAGGGTAACCCAGAGGAAAAAGAGCCAACCTTGCATCTACTTCTGTAGACACACGGCCAGGTATCCTCTTCAATATTTCAGCTCCAAATAATACAAAAAGTTTGTCACAAGCATTTTTGATCTGCTCCTCTTCTGACCTGAAAACCACAAAGAGCAAAATCATTTCTATGGGGTGGGAAGCACATTCAGACTTTGGTGTGGATGTGAAGATCAAATTTCACAGCTCATTTAACATTAAATTCCGGAGTTCAAATAGCCACTTTTGCTCTGCTTCATGTTTATATTCTGCCCTCTGTATTCAACCAGCAGTATTAGCCTTTGGATGCTATTTCCTGTAATGCTGTCAACTCAAGAATGTTTTCCTGAGCGGTCCTAGGAGGCCATGTGAGAACTGGTAAGTGGAAATGCACTTCAAAACACATCTGAAACCAGCATAAGAAATTTTTCTTTAAGGGCTGAGGCTTTTTGGGGCAGGAGATAGACTTAGGAGTACATGAGGTGAAAAGCCCAGTACATTGCTAGTAGTACTAAACCCTATTTGTATAAATAAGGCATCTTAAACATAGATCTACTGAGATCAAATACCTTCTTTACTTACCCGCCAAGTTTTTTCCCATAGGCAACAGCATTATCCACAAGTTCCTGGTAAGCTGGCATCTGAGCAGCAGCTAGTATCAGAGATGGATTTGTGGTGGCATCCAGGGGCTTGTACTCATCAATTGCTAGGGGAATAAAAATAGCCTGTGTAAAAAAAAATCAGCAAGCCTGAGCAATTAAAAGGATTTTGCTCCAATATGTGAGGAAGTAAACACTCATGGCTGTAGGATAGTAGTGTTTGTGGTAGAGTGGACTAGTGCACAATGATGTTTAAATACCACTGCCTAAAACCTGGCTTGTGCCAGGACTACCAGAACCAGGATAACAGAGCTACAGTAACAAATACAGCAACAAATACAGCAAAGTTTCCTTACTACTATAGACATTGCCCAAAAGAAATAAACTTGTAGAAGTGACAGATAAAGAGAAGTGGTACTAATTGTCAACCTCTCCCATCTGTCCATGTCATATTCACCAGCACAGCTGAGCTACAGGAATCACAGGAGGGAAGTAAAGACAAGGGGATCTTTCTTCCCTTCTAGCAGTAAGACATTTGTGTTTTTGTTTGTCTGGGACTGTTAGAACCAGATCAGGAGAACAACTCATCTGTTAGGCTCTAGTGACTTTTCTTATGGCATTTTAGAACTTTTTCAAGTAGTTGCAGACCATTTCTTAGTATCTGTTCTTGTAATTTCGTTGTAGTACCAGGCTTCCTTCCTTACAGAAGATATTTGAACCTTTGTCTTACCTTAAGCCCTGGACTACACCTATTTCAGGTGATAGGAGTTGTTTACCAGAGTAGGCTGTGACCATGCATTGTCTGGCCCTAATGTCAGCTGAGCTGCCTGGCATGCAGAGCTTGACTCAGCAAATGGGGGAAAGCCTCTGCAGGCCCTTCAGCAATTTCTGCTTACGAGCTCCCTTGTTAACACAGCTAAATGTCAAAAATAACAAAGTGTTTATTACTGGCTCATTTTCCTCAGCGTTTCTGCACAGGGATGAAAACCCAAGTTAGAGAGTGAAATTTTTATTTTTTCAGTCATAGAAGAAAATAAGTATTGCTTTTCCATAGCTCCCTCCCAGGCAACGATCATGATCCTGGAGCAAGTCTGCTCCATATAAACACGTCCTTCAGAAAACACTTCAATTCACATGGATACTGCTTAAAAGAAAGCAGTACACCAATGAAACTCAGTGCTGAAGTGTACACACAATTTTATACAAGTCTGTTGTGACAGACACTATTCTTCTTCTCCAGCCTTGCAGCATTTGGAAACTCTCATGGGTCTCTTGCAACACGTGTAAATTAGTCTCATTAAGCCTGCCTTCCCAGTTTTCCCTCACCCAGTCTCCCTCTAGGTCTGCCAGAAAGCAGTTAGCAGCCTGTGTTTTAGCTGCACAGCACAAGCTTTCACTGGGGGCTCTGTGACTGTTGTGCCACCTTCCCTTGTTGTGAGCACAAAGACAGCTGGGCAAAAGAGTAAGCACGTACTGGTCCGGCTTTGTTAAAAAGCCAAACTAGTGCAGCTACTAGAGAAGCCACCACTGCTCGCTGCAGGGACTTGCTTCAGCAGCCAAAGCGGCATTGTCTCCTACACAGCACGGTATGGACACCTTGATCTAAACAAAACTGGGAACTGGCGTTAGCAACAACTGCACCTTAACCAGCATCAGTGTTTAACCTGAACAAGGAGAGAGTCAGATACTGACTATATCCTTGTCTGGACTGTAAGAAGGATCCACAGGTGGCAAGAGGCAGCCAGAGATCAACTGCAAAACTGTTTCAAGGAGCTTGTTAAAACTTTCCAGTGGTCAGCACTCTGCCTCCTCACTGCCACCCATACACACAAACACCCCCTCGGCCACCACAAGGATTTATTTTTTTTGTTTCATTATGCTTATTTTAAAGTAGGGTACACAGAGTAATGTTTTAAATTCAAGCAGTTTCAGCACATGCTGGGAGCTTTAGCCAGGTTTGTTGCTACTCGAAGGTACACAAATCTGACAAGGCTAAAGTTATCTTGTCAGTGTTTCCAGCTCTCTCCATGCAGTGCTTGATAAAGCTGCATCCATGGTCCCTGCCTTTCGTGGTGCAGTGGTTGTCTGGCATGTCTAGACAGACTCTTAAAGGCAAGTAATAATGTTTCATGCAGCCTGACACCTGAAATCAAGCAATCCAGAACAGTTAACAGATACATGTTACCTAGAGTCAGTGCAAGTATGTAAATATATGCAGACTGCGTCAGGAGGCACACATCTGAGCTCTTAATCTGAAATTTCTAAGACATTTGACAATTGCCATTTAAGATTGTTTATTCATCACCTCTAGGATTAGGTAAGCAGCAGAGAGATTACTGCAGGCCTCAGTGATGGCAGAACAGGATTCAAGGATTGCTCTAGGCAGCCTAGGGATGTACGAGGGAGGGATTTTTCAGTTCTGATGTACTGAGACAGTTGCATGCCTGTGCAGGCAGTCCAGCAGTGACAGTTTCAGAACAAGTGGCTTTATAATCAAATGCCACCTCCCTTCCTTGGAAAGGGGAACACTTGCTCATTCTCATGAGATAAGGAAAACAAAAGCACTCTTGCATTATTTTCTCTGCTTCACAACTGCTTTCCTCCCACTATTTAAGAGAGGGAAAAAAAAAAACAACAAACAAAACTGGGAAAAAACCCCAACCAAATAAAAAATAAATCTACACTGGTTATTGGAAAAAAACATCTTTGTTAGCCCCACAGAGCTTATCGGGGCAAGTCTGACACTTATTAGTAACAGCACACAGAGCTGAACATTGGGATTTGTGCCCACTCTTAAGTCAAACTGGAAAAAAAAAATCATTGGAGTCTCTGACAAATGTACTATACGGACTGGATCAACCCTGCCAGCTGCAAAGGTTGGATTTAAACGAAGCGTGTGGCAGAAGAAGCAGCAGCAACTGGCAGACTCCCCTGGCAGGGCGCTGCGAGGGCTCGCTTGGGACTCAGTGGAGCGGAAGCTGCTTGGGCTGCAGCCGCAGG